AAACCACGGACGACATAACAGACCCGACACCCTACTTTCCCGATTCCGACATCAGTAGCTTGCGTACCTTCATCCGTGAACTAGTCACACAGTCCATAATACCCAATATGGAGCGCAGCGTCTCAACCTGGAACGAGCAGATCCTGTCCCGACGCCGCGGTCTGTCTGGCCGCTTCATGTCTCTATCAAAACGTTGGACACCCTTTGGCGGCTCAAGAACCTCCTCATCATCCTCGACTGCATCAGGGAACTCCAACTACGACAGCCTACAGGGATTCTACCGTCCCGACGCCCCCGAAGCCATCATGCGACGGCTAGCAGATTATTGCTTTATGCTGCGCGATTGGAAACTGGCATTGAGCACTTACGATATTCTAAGGACAGACTTTCAAAACGACAAAGCATGGCGGCATTACGCTGGTGCTGCTGAAATGGCCGCTTTGTCGGCTCTCATGGCACCCACACCATTGTCCTCCAAATCTCGCGCTGAAAACATCGATGCGTGGATAGAAGCTGCATCGTACTCGTATACCGACCGCCAGCGCAGCGCAGCGCCGTACTATGCTCTCCGCACCCTCGCCCTCAGCTTCGAGCTCCTGCGCCTCCGTGGCTCCTCGGCCGCAGACGACGCCGCACGCTGGGCAACCCGCATTTTAGAAACAGGTCTTGTGGGCTCGATAGGCCACGCCCTCATTACAGAACGCATCTCAGCTTGCTATGCTGTGCGCACTGGCGTCGGCATGTACAAACTAGGAAGCCGACGTCGGAAAGCAGCGCTTTGGGCTGTGCTTGCCAGCGAGAACTGGTACAGACTGGACAAGTCGCAACAAGCGGAACGCGCCCTCGACACAGCGCTCAGGCTATACAACACCCAAGCTGAGAACGCCGATGGAGGAGCCGTTAGACTACCGTTTGAGGACATGCAGCGATTTGTGGATGAGTTGAGACAGCAGATCATGGGCTTGAGGCTGGCAAATCAGGGTTACGGTAGTGAGCATGGAGAGGGCGATGAGGACGGTAGTCAAAGTCCGGAGGTGGAAGAGGAAGCTGAGACGTTGGATAAGAGCCCGCGGTTGCATAGGAAGAGCTTAATTGGGGTTCAGGTGCCACCTGTTGATATAGTAGGGCCTCTAAGTCCAGCGCTTGAGAGACCGAAGGGCGAGGTGGACGCCAAGGGTGAGGGATTTGAATAGACGGTAGATATGCATAATGCTCATGACGATCAAGACGTACTCATCGATAGCTTCACGCATGCTGAACATCACACACACAAATCAAGCAAAGACAAGTCAACAGCAGTAATGGTTTCTCATTTCTAGGTTCAGTCATATCCCAAGAGATGAGCCATCATCATCCATGCGGAAACGCAAGCGTAACCCCCAAACGCCAAAGCCAGTGAACAGAGCGCGGCCCAAGCACTTTGGCACCCGTCAGTCATGCTGGCATATGCAACGATGTGTAACAGACAGCCCCTGCCAATGCTCGTATGCTATGCAAAGAAGGAAAAGGAAAATAACCCGGGAATAATAAGCGCCCAATGTTATGCTGGGGTATCATCGTCAGCGTCATCAATGTGAACCGTGAATCGGTGTCCGTCGTCGTAAGGCCATGATGCTACCAAGCCTACTAGGCGGTAGCAGCGGGTGTGGTCTCTGCCACAGCAACACTCTTGGGTGCTGCGGGAGCCGTCTTCTTGGGCTCTGATGGGGTTTGTGTGGAAGGTGGTGCGGGCGTAGGTGCGCGAGAGGTCGTGCAGGATGGAGTAGGGGAGGAGGTATCTGAGGTGCGAAGACCGCGGAGCTTGATGGTGAGCTTAACCTTCACGGGCTCTGGTTGAGGAATTTCAGTGTTGGACCGCTGCGACGCTGCGAATCCGTTTGATTCATCTGACGAGCTCTCGGTGCCCTCTGGTGTAGAGTCGGAGTCGAAGAGCGGCAGAGGCGAGCGGCGCTTTCGTGAGCGGCGGCGCTGGTCATCATCGTCACCGTCGACACTAGGGCTAGGTCGCTTCTTGGAGATGACCTGGGGTACGATGTTGACGTCAGGGGGGCCGCTGTGAGGTCCGGCGATATTGCGGACGGAAGAGTAATGCTCCCAAGTCTAATTGGCACGTCAGTACTGTGCCAGCGGGGTAGTCAGTGGTGGCATGACTTACGTGATAGGCAATGTGAAGTGTCTGGCGGCTATCCTGAGCAGCCAGGCCCTCGTTCGACGTGTAGCATGTGCGGGGCGAGAAGAGGTAGGTGTAGTCAGCCTGCCAGAGGCGGACATTGACGTTGAGGGCAGAGGCAAATGCTGAGACTTCCATGTTGTCGGCCCACTCGCCGGGCTGGCCCATCTTCTCGACATGCTCTTCAAACTGCTGTTGCAGCTGCTCGTCGGTGTAGCAAGTGGTGTCAAGGCGGTTGGCGGCAGCTGCTGCAGTCTTGCGCTTGGGGTTCCGTCGCACCGTGTTGCAGGCCATGTACTGGCGGTAGAAGTCGGCGCTGTCCTTCATGTGCTCTATGGTGGTGGTGCGCAGCACCTCGTGCATATCTTGGTTGCCGTAAAGCTGGTCAGACAGGGCGTTGAAGAGGCAGTTGCCTTGGGCAAAGTCAGCCTTGAACATGGAATATGGGGTAATTAAGCTCACCATCGCCGCGGATCTGGCTGGCATACAGGGCATTGGCCTCGAGTATGGGGAATTCAGGCGAGTTGGCCCGCTGTCTTCGGGTAGCCATATTGGCGGTGGTGTATCAAGCGTGCGTGTTGGACAGGAGAAGTCGGTGTAATGCAAAGAGGAAGGCACAGGAGTGGGGTGACGGGGTCATGGATGAGGGTTGAGCTTAGGTGCGACAGTTGCTATTGTAGAGAGGGCTGGGCCGGCCACGCCAAGTTGGTGAAGGTCGTGGCCGGTGAACGTGAATGATGAATATCTTTGTGACGCGCCCGAACTCTTGAGGCTCTCGAAGGGACACGGCGACAGGGATGGCTCAGCTTGGCGGGTCGCAGGAACAACGATCTCCGCCCCGAGTCAGGACAGCTCGCGCTCAGGAGCCTGGAGAAGTACAATCAGACGTCAGCCAACCAGACACCGGGACAGCGCCTTCTTGTACTTTTCAAACGACAGAAACTAAAGCTCCAGATGGTACGGAAAAATCTTCGGCCTACATACCTCGGAGCCTGCAATGATGTCACGGACCACAGAGCTCCCCCAGCTAGCCGATGGGGCAGGCCCGACTGTTTTTCGCGATATATCGGCGGTGAAGGGCAAAAAGCGCGTGCAAGTGGGCGAGAACCGAGTTTGCTCAATAATCTGGACAATAGCACAAAAGTGAAGGGGGCCGGGGCCAGCGTTATAATAGCTTTAGAATAGCAAGCAGGCCAGTTGGTCAGTAAACAAAGCTCGCATGTGCGCACGCGTTTTGTCTCGTGTGCGGGAAGGAGCCAATAGGCGAGCCGGGGATACAAGGCATGACCCCGCCATCCTCATCAGGCTCCGCATCCACGGCGATAGCAAGTCCTGTTCAGTCACCCCACGGCATATCACGGGTGCGTCAAGGCAGCAGCCATCGCTCTGACTCTGAGCTGCCACCATGGCCAACCAGAAGAATGTCGTCGTTGTCGGGTAAGCTCGCCTATCAATGCTGTCATGATATTTTGTGTTGCCCCTCCACGTCCCGTAGTAATATGTACTCATCCTCGCCTATGACTCTCCAACATGTCTAATCCGTCTTGGGCGGCAACCTCAAGACCGCACTAACACCACCCCAGAGCAGGCGTCATCGGCCTCTCCACAGCCCTCGTGCTCTCCAAGCACAAGGACCTCAGCATTACCGTCGTAGCCAAGCACATGCCCGGCGACTACGACATAGAGTATGCATCACCCTGGGCTGGAGCAAACTACTTTCCTGTCGGCAAGCCAGGTTCCAATCTGCAAAGGTTCGAGAAAGCTACCTGGAGTGAGCTCGATCGAATCTGTCGTGAAATACCCGAAGCAGGCATCCACTACCAGGCGACGAGGGCCTATGGGCGGGAGAAAGATGCAGGCACCGCTACAGGGCAGTGGTTTGAAGAGCTGACCAAAGAAGACGCATGGTTCAAGGACGTTGTGCCGAATGTATGTAGAGCCTATCCCAACTCGGTGTCCATACACTCACCTACGTTGCTTGCGTGAAGCCATGCTGATGCTTCTTAGTTCCGCGTACTGTCCAAATCTGAACTCCCAGAAGGCTGTGACAGGGGCACGGAGTTTACTTCAGTATGCATAAACACTGCTGTATATCTTCCCTGGATCGTGGGACAGTGCGTGAAGGCTGGTGTGACCATCAAGCGCGGTATACTCTCCCATATCTCTGAAGCAGGCAGCTTCCATACCTCGGGGGATGCAAATGCCGTCGTGAACTGTACTGGTCTTCTAGCCTCCACACTCGGAGGCGTTATGGACAGCAACGTGTACCCTGGACGCGGTCAAATTGTTCTAGCGCGGAACGAGCCCGGTGTCATGGTGACAGTAAGCGGTACCGACGATGGCAGTGAAGAGGCTACGTACATCATGCAGCGCGCAGTCGGTGGTGGGACAATCCTCGGAGGCTGTTTACAACACCACTCTTGGGAATCGCAACCTGACCCCAACCTCGCACAGCGCATCATGCAACGCTCCATCGACCTGTGTCCGTCGCTAGTACCGAAGACTGGAAAGGTGACCGAGCTGAGTGTCATTAGACATGGTGTTGGTCTGCGCCCTATGAGGATTGGCGGTCCAAGGGTCGAGAGAGAGAAGATTGATGGAGTTGAAGTAGTGCATAGCTACGGACATGCTGGCTATGGATATCAAAGCGGCTGGGGAAGTGCGTGGGAAGCAGAGAAGCAAGTCCTGGACACCTTGGATGGAGACAGGATAAAAGCGAGACTGTAAACGTGCCCACAGAGCCTAGATTTGGCCGGCCATGATAACGGATAGTAAGAGACAGCTATCGAAAGGACGGGCTATAGTAAGACTGTCCCCGTCAAACTCCTACTCACCTGAACTTCCTTGGTTTCTTCGACCCAACGACGTTCAAGACTGTCTTACTTCTCCGGAGATGACCTGGTCCCAGAGGCCGTGTATCTGCAATCTCGCCATCGTCTACCTTTTCCACGTCTTTTGGCTTTCGTTTCCATGCACGTCGCCCGCGCGATAGCTTCTCTGATCCCCACATAGCATCGCCCATCGCGCGTACCTTAGCCCACATGTACGTTCCATGATATGCGATCATCAAGGAGAGTCCTCCAATCAGCGTTGTGGCAGGAATGGCAATGACCCAAAAGAGAGCTTGCGAGCTGCTCATGTCTCTTATATCTGTAGTGTTCGTGCCGAATACGGAAGAGATGAAAGAAAGAGGAAGAAACACGATTGTCACTAGAGTAAATACCCTGATGGCTTTCGAGTTGCTTTCTTCTGAGACTTCAACGTTGTGGCGGAGCACCTCCTTGGTCTTATCGAACGACGCCCGTATTTGTTTTATTCCTGTAAGGGTTGCCCCCATACCAACAGGATCATCAAATATGTGTGTCATGAGGGGAAATGCGATGTCTTTGTAGGCTCTGTAGCACTCTTTGGTCGCGATGCGATAGCTCCAGGGATAGATGACGTCGTAGCAATCATTGATCATGCGGCGTTGTTGAGCACATATGGAGGCTACCATCTCGAATTCCTCTTCCAAGAGGTACAGTTCTCGAAGGGCAAGCTTCGACGGCCGCCGGTTAGCTTTGTATTGCTATGTCTTGTTAGGGTGTAGTTCTCTGGCTGAGGTAAAAGGTGCACATACCATGACCGAAAGATTCTCTCTGTACAAGTCAGGCACAGATAGATTCTGCGATATTGTTCTTGACCAAAGATGGATGAGACATATGAACAGAGTAACCTCAGGAGTACTGCGGAAGTTTTGCACCGCTCCCCTATGGCTGCCGGTATGCGCCATGATCATTAGCTCTTTACGCGCTGATGAAAGCGCGGTAGAAGCTGCTGAGCCAAAGTAGGAAAGCAAATTCATATGAGTTTTGAGTTCGTTCCGTGAAATAGAAGGCATCGTATCGGCTTTGTCGAAATTGTGCATTTCTCGGACACTATACCCGCAGGTATCGATCGTCTGGAGAATCTTCTCTGCTGCTTTCACAAGCGACAGCGGTAGGAGGTATTCGCTCGGCTTTTCGTCTCTCTCATTTGCGACACTGTTGCGAATATCAATTGCTTTAGAGCGCAACGCCTCAATACGCAGTGCCAGGGCACTGAGATACTCGACGATGAGATCGTTTTTCTCCTCCACATTAGCCAGCTGAGACGACATAACCCAATGAGATAGCTGTGTCCGGGAGTAATGTGAAGGTTGATCTGTTTTGCTAATGTGGTCGCGTCGCAGATGTTCGAAAGCTTCATCCGCGTTCGAATAATACCTCGCCCGCTCACAAATGTCACACTGACCTATGGGAGAAGGCAGGACAGAAATCTTGTGTAGCTTCGCATATTCTTTGTGAGGAAGTTCACGGATTGCGTAAGTCGATTCTAAGCCCCAACTTCTCCCGATCTTGTAACATAGAGCTCCTGATGCTCATGAAGGCAACGATCTGCGGAGATTGTGTAAGTAGCATTTCATAGTGTACGGCCCTCTGACGCGTTCAGAAAGATTAATTACCTTGATGATGTACCTGAGCACACCCCAGCATCTGCGCAAGAGCTGATGGTCGTAGTACTTTGGTACAAATTGGTCCATAACCTCCATAGTAGATTGGAAAATGCGTTGTGTGTGTTTGTACATCAGAGCTGTCTGCCATTGTGTGACCCTTCTCGCCGTGACATAGGTCTCACCTTCTGCATCGATTTGAACATCACCTGACATGTCGCTGTTGGCAATGCCGGTGCCCGAAACAAGTACCTGGATCAGGCCATTTGTGTCGTCCATTACAGTTAGCTCGTTGCAATCGGTGGTGCCTTTAACGACTCTGGTAGAGGCCTCGTAACAGGACACTAGTGATGCCGAGACATCTTCTAAGGAGGAATCTTCGACATCGGTGAAGGGCGCACCTGATTGATACAAGTGTACGAATGGATGCGCAGAGTCGATTGGTAATCTTGCTACATCCGTTCGCGTCCTGGTCAGCTCCTGGTCAATAGCAAAGAGAGTAAGCTGTATGTAGATACTCTCATCGTTATTCTGCTCTGCTGCGTCTTCTGTTGTTTGCCAGGCAAGAAACGGTGGAACACGAAGACCAGTATTAAGTCTTGTAAACTTGGGACTTGGAGAAACCTCTCGTGTTCGATACGTCTTGGCTGTGCGATCTTTGCCCCCCGAGCTTTTACGTGAAGCTCCACTATTCTATTGCAATCAGCGCTGACACAGCTAAGCGTTTCGATCAACAAGTGCTTACACGGTCAGATCGAACAGTGTCCATGGGCGGACGTTGCTCTTGCCGCTCTTGTGTTTGAGCGCGCGATCGCTCTTCCCGCTCTCTTTCGGAATGTGCGTTCAGATGACGTTCGCGTGTGTGATCAAACATGGGCACTAACTCATCTCTTGTCATATGTGGGAAGATGATCCAGTAGTTGGGATCGTATGTCATGCTTGAATCGGACATTGAAATGAAACAAAGTGGCCTCGTCGAGCTGACTCGTAGGTACTCTTGTATAGTTAGATAGGGGTTGGTCTTCCCCTTCCGTTGTTGTCCCATTCCCTTGTTTGACGATAGCTTCAATAAGGTCTGGAAGAAAGCCAGCTTTGGCGAGTCGACCACGAAGCTCAGGTTCCAGTTGCTTCTGAACATCGCGGTTGACCTGGTCAGTGTTTTGTTTTAATGCAGCAGCAACTTCTTCGCTTATCAGCCCTTTGAGATCTTTGACCTGTAGTCCCACGAGTGCCCTTCGGTCCCCATGGTTCTCTTCGGCTTTGAGACGTCTCTCTTCTTCTTGTGTCATTTCTAGATCATCCTATAGCTACGGATCTGATCCAATGAGCTCCTCCTCCTTTATGCCTTCTTCCAATGGTCTCGAGAGATCTTGCGTGGTAACGAACGACTCTGTTCGACTTTGTGGAACGACAGTTCTGGCTTTTATTCCGGGTCTCACGCCATCTTCACTGTCTGATATCGCATTTCGTATCGCTCCTAATGTCGCCTCTTCCTCTCCAGACTCGAAATGATCTCGCTCGTGGGTTGAGTGAGATGATAACGACAACGAACTCTGAGCATCTTCCTTTGTGTATTCTCGCGTATCGTAGACATCAGCCGTAAGTTCGAAAGGGCTGGGAAGCTTTTCGTTGTCTTCTACGTCAATGCTGTTTGGTAAACAAGATACCTTTGGACTGTGGGACGACCCGACTGGATCATAATTCGACGACGCATTACCGACTCCCTCCGCGCACGATGGAGCCTCATCAGAAGTTTTATTGCTGCCAACAACGGACCCATCCAGACTCCTGCTAATATGAACAGCGTTTTCGCTCTCATATGTAATGGCCCTGGCGACATGAAGGCCGTCATATGCGAAAGACGGCCTAATCATACGTGTTGGACGGCGGAATATGACCGGTTTCGGACCAACAATACTGTTGCTGCGATCCATGAGTAAGCTGGGGTCATTCACCATGTAGCCCTGCCTTGCTAAACTCTCACTCGGTCCAACAAAGTAACTGGCTTGGCGACCTTGCTCGGCATCGTTGCTGTATATAAATCAGCAGTAGGCCAAGAATGAATCCGTCCGGCCAGTAGTCGCTTACAGAGGTCGCCTTACGATAAGCGCCTGAGTCTCGTTATCGTCTGTGGAGTCACAATCAGAGCGCAGATTACCGTGCTCAATCGTTCTTGGTTCAATACGCAAACCATCGACCGAAGAGATAGCCCGGCTCGCGAATTTCCGGCTGAGGCGCAGAACAATCATTGCAGATCGTTCGCATTTCATGACGTGTGGCCATTGATCTGCCTCCAATGCTGCTTCGTCTGACCCAACATGTATGACATAGTCTTTATTATCTCTTTCGCTGCCATCGAGACACTTACTCTCGATATTACGACAAAGTGCGACGTATGTTGAGCACAGCTTGAGTGGGAGGTATGCGACTTGTCCGTAAAAATCGGTAACATGAACCAGACTGGGTCCGTCTGCAACAAGGTAGTTCTCAGAGATGAACTCGACACCGTCTTCGAAGAGCTCCTGAAGAGCACTTGGTCCGCAGGTGATAATCAGGTGGGACTGTACGACCATAGACCAAAATTGAGGAACTCGCAGACAGTCTCCCTTTCTCACATGCTTAAATTTTCGAAACACTTGTTCGTCATCCCGACCCTGCGCGCCTTCTTGCGGGTATCTATACTGGAACAATCCTCTATCACACCATCCGGCATCATGTCAGTGCATCGTTTCGCATATACAGCCAATGGAAGTTATACACTTACCGGGTTTCGTGTAGTGATGTATCTTTTGATGCACGAGAGGGATTGAGCGCACTGATGTCAAAGTACGGGAAAGAAACAAAGATAGCAGATATGTCAGGTTTATCGGATCGTGCATGATCGATTCCGTCGCATCGCAGAACAGTGTCCGATCGTATATAGCTGCCGTGGGGGGTTCGCTCTTCGAATTCATCTTTTATGTGCCTCAAAAGATATCCCACGACCGGAGTCGCGTCTTCGTCATAGTCGAGCACAAAGTTGAGTGTGGCGCTCTTTTATAATTGTTAGATTGGCATCAGTAATCTTGGGGTAGAACTTGTACCTCAAACGCCTCGAAGCTTATACAGTCAGTCTGAATGTGTCTGCATATCGTCAGTAAGTGCCAAGAATTGGAAGAATTGACTCACAGCCAGCGCTCAGGTGTCGCATCCTTCGTCCCAAGGATATCCCGTTCTGACCTAGTGATGATCCGAAGCCGCTGAGCTCCTCCATCAGCTGGCGGGTAGACCATTGATGCCGCGACAGCGAATTTGTGATGATTATGCATCGGGGCCGCTTGAAAACGTGTCGTTGCTCTTCTTGCGGCCAGAACGCTTTGGTCCAACCCGTCATTGTTCAGCCTGATCTTGATGATCTTTTCATCATCGTCTGGGCTGTAGCTCAAACCATCTGCGTCTTGCGCCATGGTATCGGCTTGTTGTGGATGACAAATAACTTTCGGTGTCAGAATTGGAGTCAGAGGCGTAGGTAGACTCAGGATGGTGATAGAGGAGGGAATGCGCGTTGACACAAGCGCCCGTCCATCTGTGCCACCGAACACTAAGCGGCCCCCAGCCCCCACCTTCGCAGCAGGGTATAGCGCCCTGCAACGCCTCTATAGTACATAAGAATTGCAGGGTATAGCGTCAGACTTTGATAGGCCAATGGTTAAATGCCCATGGTCATTCGCGCCACTCGTCACAGCTGGAAGACAGGGGCGATTATCGTACTCCGTGTAAGGGGCAATCAAGGACATAAGACGTTCCAGCTTGAGTAATGGACCAAAAAAACAGATTCAAGATGAAAGGCATAGAAATTGCGTTAAAGACCAAGAGTCGTATGTTAATCCCAGGTAACATGTACTCAGCATGGCGGTTGAGCCGCTGTTGTCGCGAAGCATGTCTTGATCTCATCTACGGCTGGCTTCAGACTCTTCGATGGTAATGTCCAGTCGTGACGCTTCAACCCTCCTTCGTGAGTCAAGTACCAGAGAGTCTCCGCTGTTGTGATGCGTACCTAGACATCATTAACGTAAGCCAGCGACAATAGATTGTCTTATGCATACCTTCGGGAACGGATGTAACAGCATGCTCACAGCTTTGGCTAGCGTGTCGCTCCTGGTCATTGGGATGACACCTAAGCCCCGATACAAATCCAGCGCGAGGTGAAGCTTTTGCATATGCGTGGACTTGAAGTGTGCTTTTTGCGTATATGAAAGAAGTGATCGGAAACTAAGACGATTAGCGCATGCGCATATGGAACACCAAGAGAGAGCTCTTACTTGAAAGACGTCGACTGAAGACGCTGCATGATCTGCATGTCAAACAAGAAGGCGATGACCTCTAGTAGCGGAAGCAAAACTCTGTCGTTGGTGATGTTGTTCTTCAGGAGTGTCAGGACGCAGTTTGCAAAGTCAACCAAGGCAAACTGCGTAACGTCGGATGTATCTTCGTCTTGTAGCATATCGACAAAGTCTAACAAAGCTGCTCGTGAGTTCTGCACCACAGATTCGGAGCCCATCCCCGCGGAGCTGACAAAACCAACACAGATAGCTTCCCTGATCGCGGGGGTTTTGGTTTTTTGTAATGACATCAGTGCATTCAGGAAGTAGGTCCGAGAGGAGACCTCGTCTGTGGTCGCGGCGCCAGCTTCTCTCAGCTGGAGGACTTGAGCGGCGTTCATGCGCATCTTATCAAGCTTTTCGAGAGATAGTCGAACGATGTCGGCGTAGATATCGTACTCGCGTTCATTGCGTTTCTCGGTGAGAATTCCATTTGCCCAAGCCAAGCGAACGGTATTCAAGGCCTCGAGTCGGACGAGTGACCCAACATCTCCCCGTTCTGTAATGGTATAGTCGTTAAGTGCAATGTGCAAGGCGCTCGCAATCTGGTCTTCTTCGTCGGCAGCAAGCTGAGTTGATTCAGGGTTCTTGCTCCCAAGCAAACAACGCAAAGCACGTAATGCCACCGTTCGGGCCTCGATAGCCACAGCTGATGTGCACCTGAACGTAAGCACCTTTACAATGCGCCGCTGGAGGACGTCCCTTTCAGTGTCGAATGCCAGGCTGTCCAAGCTGCCATGCGCAGCTCCCAGAGCGATCGCATGTCCGGAACATCGCGACCCATTGTACGATGCTTCGTTCTCCAAACGAAGCAGCCATGACATAACGACGCCAAATGTGTCAGACCCCGGTAACCTAGGTAATAATGAGACTATTGCAGGGATTGCGGCAGCAATAGCATCGAGGACTGACTCCTCATGACGCGCGAGACAAAGGTCCAATACATCACAAACCTGTGCCACAGGTAGGCTTGGGGGCCAGAGCTTGCTGGCAGTTCCATTGGTGAGTCTCGAGATTGCCCCGATGAATGTACATACTGATGATGCGGTGAACTGGGGTCGCAATGCCGGCGAAGTGAATGCCTTGTCCTCAAGATCTAATTCTCGTGAGAATAACGTCCAAAGGGCCATCAAGGACGCACATGAATTTTCGGGCGCTTGGTCCACATGCATAGCTACTGCCGTGTCAACGAGGGTCGCAAGAGCAGTCACTAAACCTTGACGCTCTTCAACCTCGCGAGGTCGCAACGCCGTAAGCTTGCCGCGGACCTGATCAGACATCTTCTGCACTACCGCAGGAGACCGAGCCTTGGAAAGAGACCCGATGGCCCCAGCTGCAAATAGACGTGAGTCTGAATCTAACGAGCCGGTTCCTCTCCAATCTAAAAGACCACCGAAGAGGGCCTCCCAGTACAGAGATTGTAGTTCTCCAGCCTTGATCGCCACGTCGCACATTGCGCGCTGGCGGAGCCCGACAGCGTGGAAGTCGACTATCTGTACGAGTGATATGCCCTCTTCTATTGTATTGGGGTGGCGACCTATAAGTTCTTGAAGCGCAGCAGATGAGCCTCTTCTGATGTTGCCTGCTGGATCGAGACAAGCAGCAACTACCAATTCGATTGCCAGCACTTGAGGCACGTGTAATGATCTGAGGTGCTCGGAAGCTCTTATTGTCGCGGTTTCGACCGCAAGGAGGTCAGTGGTGGGGTAGCGGCGAGAGAGCGCCCAAATGCCGAAGCAAGCTGCATCGCGTACGTTCGTACCGATGGACCCTCCAGTAGGCGACCGTTGTTCAAAGCCGAGGGAAAGTAGGAGAGCGTTGAGAACGTCCGCCAAATGACTGGTAGAGATTGCTTTGCGATAGAGAAGCTGAGCCAACGTCAAAGTCAAACCGTGCCATCGGAGTGGGTTCACGCTGTTCAAATTGCGCTTGGACCCCTGCCAGTAGATGTTCTCTGTGAGCGAGCCAAGTATTGCTTCGACAACCTCGCTGGCCATCTCCGCGTCCAATTTGAGAGTGATGATGCTGAGCGCCTTGCTAGCACCGTATCTGACTGGTGTGTCACCATCCGCGAGTGCTTCAAGGAGAAATTCGATGACTTCTTCCAATACCACGGTTGAATCGAGTCCAGGAAGGGTTGACGTCGCCTGTAGGCAATGCAAAACGACATTGCGCAAGCTTTTCACAACTAGCTTTCGAGCCACAGCTGATGACTTGACAAAAGCGAGACTCTGCTGATCCAGTATCTTTCTGCAGGATAGGTATATGGCAGCGAGGAAAGGGCCAAGCTCCTCATTCGTAGCGGAGGCCAATAGCCCTGACAGGAATGAGAGAACTCCGAGACACTGATGTATGTCGGTCTTCTCTTCGGATATGTCTGTGAAAAAAGACAAGGACCATTGGACCATGGCATCCAGTAAACCTAGCTTTTGCATATCTGGTCGCACGCATGTCCTCACTAGGAGACTTGCAGCGGCGCTTCTTTCCTTTGTTGGGGATTGAAGTCCTGACATGCAAAGAGAAATTACCCGAAGAGTGACACCAGGAAGTTCATCCGGGAGCTTCAGCCCAAGAGCTACAGGTGTTTCTGCAGAAACTTGCAACCCAGACATGGACTCCAGGGGAAAGGGCGCGAGTAGTAACTGTGAGAGCCATAATAGCAGCACATAGCGCTGTATCCAGGGACGAGCTGTGTCCTGCAGTAGGGCATCGGTATTTTCAGATTTAACAACTCCAGTCGCTTCTAACTCGCCCAAGATCGCTTCGAGATGACGTGGTTCGTTATTGAAGAAGCCTTTGACGACCTTTTCGCCTCGGACTTTACAGAACGTGTTCAAGACGGAGCATACGGCGTATGTAAGAGTCACAAATCCTGGTTTCGGTCCTTCTGTGGCGCTCGCCGATATTGCTTCTAAATAGGCGGCGACGAGTGGAGGTATGAAGGTTTTGAGGTGGGTGTCTAGAATCTGGGGGTCCTCCTGGAATGGCTCTATCTGGGAAAGGTCAGACAGCCATTGAGAACAGTGATTAATAGGGTTCATACCAAGCCGCATGCCTTGTACATGTCTGCTGTTCGGACATGTTGGCGGACGGGACCAAGGGCAGAGCCATGCTGCCGTTTCCGCAGTAGTCGTGGTAGCAGCCTCTCGAAGTCAGACAGAAGCGATGCAGATGCTCGCTGTAATTTCAGGTCGTCGTCCTCTCCGGCGCTCATCATGGAGTAAGGTGGAGTTGTGACGCACTTTGCAGGCGACAATGGGTGCCTTGTTCGCCGAGTCAGTTCTGGCAGGCACGACGCGTGATTCTGAGTCAACCCCGCGACGCGCTTTCGATACTTCTTCCACCATCACCACTGCGACGACTACGTCAGCCACGACAACGCACAATGGCGGGAGAAGACTACAACGACTTTCTCGTTGCACGGGTGATTACCGAGCAGAGGCCTGTCACCTACAGGCTGCTCAGTAGAGCGACCAGCACCAATGTCAACACAGCGAAACGGTTCGTGCAGCTCTTGCCAGCATCTGAATGCCGGCTCACATGATACAGGATGCTCTTCGAATTCCAAAGGAACCAGAACGCGCGGAAACCCAAGTCGGTCCACGCCACCTACCTCGTGACTGGCACACCTAAGCGAACCGTGAAACCCAGTGGTGCCCCCCGTCAGAAGCGCGAGGACGCCGACATGCGCAGCTCGCCCTTTATGAGCTCCATGCCCGAACGAGAAGAGCCCGAAGACTCTGATTACGCTAGCGACTCCGATGACGAAGATACACCCGCACCTGAAGGTGTCAAAGAGACAAAGATTGTATTGGTAGGAGAGGAAGCCTTGGAAAGTACGATTGGCATATGCTATTGGCAGGACCCAGCTGACGGCTTCACTAGAGACTCGGTCAGAGTTTGAAGATGGATCCACGGCTCACATTTACAGTGTGGAGCCCGGCCCGCTCAAGGTACGAGATCCTGGGAGGCTTCAGGTCCAATACTAAGGCATATAGGCTGTCGGCGTACTGTCTTTGTGCAATCATGAGGTCGTAACAGAGTACGCAGACGAAGATCCTCTAGAGCGGTGGAGAACATATGGTTCCATTCAAAACGAACACATCAAGGTACGCGCATGGCTACAGCTCCACGGGCGCGCTAACATCATTGTAGCGAAGAACTGCAAAGTATGCTCCTCCTACTGCTACATCGAAGCCCGCTGCGAAGACCATCACGAAGCCTGCCGGGAAGGGCTCTTTCGCTTTCGCGAAGAAGGAAAAAGAGACGTCCGCGTCTGCGAGAAGAGGCAGCGCGTCCGAAGATAATACATCCGGTCGCTCGACGCCACAGCCCTCGGCGGGGTCTACTACACTGAAAAGGAGCGATTCGAAGTCCGGGGCGAAGAAAGACAAAGCGACAAGCGACCTATTCAAGTCCTTTGCAAAGGCTAAACCGAAGGCGAAAGAAGCGGAAAAGTCACAAGAGTCCACACCAGCGCCGGTTGAGGATGGTACGTATACAAACAGTCTTTTCTGGTTATACAACTAATTTCGCTAGAACCAATGGAAGGCATGTCTGAGGATGAAGGTGATCCCGATGATGAGCCCGAGATCAAGATCGATGAGGAGAAAATCGAGGCAGCCCGCAAAGTCCGAGAGGAGCGAGCCGAACGATTGCGCAAGATGATGGAAGATGACGGTAAGTCTTTCGAGCTGGATATGATCGCAGCGTCTGACGTGTGTAGATGAGGAAATGCCGGATGCACCAGCCACAGCGGAATCTCAGCCTGAAGCTCCTTCAACAGCGGCGACGGATACCACAGAGCCAACCGAGGGCGAAGCTACCGTCACAGTGGAGAACGGTCGCAGACGCGGCCGGAGACGAGTGATGAAAAAGAAAAAGGTCAAGGACGAGGACGGCTATCTTGGTAAGTAGGCAGTGCACTCTGATTGCCCTCCCACTGACTGTGCATAGTGACCAAGGAAGAGGCTGTCTGGGAGTCCTTCTCAGAAGAAGAAACTGCACCAAAGAAGGCTAAGCCAGCGCCAGCCAAGCCAACGAGCTCGGCAAAAGCGAAAAATGCTGGCAAGAAAGGCCAGGGAAGCATAGCCAGTTTCTTCAAGAAGGCCTGAGAGATCTACGCATGTGAACAAGAGGAACAGCGTTACTACAGCTCCAACCAAACAAAGCAATATTCGAGCATAGTGTACAAGTCATTCGAGTCACAACCGTGTATGTGTTGACCAATATATCGCTCGTATCCACCAAATGTTTCGTCCATCTCGCAAGGGCAGATTGTCCTACCACTTGAGCAGTAAACTCCAGCCGGTTTGACGAAGCGACGTTGACCAGGTCGCCGACTTGTGTTGCCCCAGACGCCTACTGTACCATGTTGTACACAGATCTTGACTTGTTGAGCGGTGTCTGGGTATCGTGATGCTGTGTGACATGATTAGCATGTGCTCGAGTGCAATCCTTCCTATAGACAAGCATACTAAGCTTGGGTACAGATCCAGCTGGTGCCACTTTCAAAACTGGAGCTTGGATGAGTTTCTATTGCAAAGGTGAGAAATCGGAACTCCCCATCTTCTGGGTTCGCGTTGTCGCTTATGACGGGCGCGGTCTTATTCGGATACCCCGCAACCCCACAGGAGCGATGATTTGCCAGTATACAGCTCTGTCGTACACGGTGTGCTCTCAATGTTCACGGATACCATCATTCTTAGTTACTTTTCTACAAAATACATGTCGAAGAGCCGCACAGGTACTTGCACTAGACTAGACACAGGCTACTGACCTCATTGAATCTGCACGATTGCGCAGGTACCGATCTAGGTGATGACGACATCATTCTCCGACACATCAAATAGTCTGTAGCTTCAGAGCTCAATTGACTTCCATCATCACGACTAACACAGTATCATCTACTCATTACAGCCATCATAGCTTCACGCACAGCATCCCGCCGCCTTTCGCGCTTCCTACGCACCATGTCTACCACCGCACCCTCAGCATCGGCCCTTCCGCCTGCGCCATGGAAGTCCCTGTTCAGCGAGCATATCTCAAAGATGAAATCGCCTGAATTCGTATTGGGAACGCTCGATGCAGCCCCCAAGGGCTCGCCTACACCCTTCGTGCCCCGCGTGCGATACTGCATCCACCGCGGTTTCTGGGCCGAGCTTCCGGAGAACAAGCACAACGATGCAGAGCGCAATCCTCAGGTCTACCAGAGCGATTGCCCAACATTCACAACGGATGTTCGCATGGAGAAGGTCGGACAGATATTCGCGACGAGTGCGGGGCACGCTGAGAGCAGCGAACAGGTGCAGGGCAGTGGTGGTGGAGGCCCTGTAGAGGCTGTGTACTGGAACGCTGATACCGGTACACAATGGCGGATCAAGGGAAGGGCTTTCATCATTGCACCCGATATTGAGGGCGATGACGAGAGCAGTGGTGTAAGGACTGTCAAAAGCGAGCTGGGAAAGAGGATGAGGATCGTCGATGAGGGCAAGGAAGGCGACTTCAGCTGGCAAAGGGAGCTGACCGGTTTCTTTGGTAACCAGAGTCCTGGCATCAAAGGTAAAAATGGCCGCTGTCTACTGTACTTTGCAAATCGCTAATAAATCATCTCAGGCTCATTCAAGAACCCTCCACCCGGCCAGCCAACCTCCAAACCATTTGACGACAAGAACCTTGCCCTTGGCTCAAAGGTCGACGATTTGCAAGACCCCGTGGCACGCAAGAATTTCCGCCTTGTGGTGATTGTGCCAGACTCAGTGGAGCAGACGGATCTCAGCGACCCAGCAAAGGCACGGAGATTTAGATACACATTCGACGAGAGCGCAAGGGCCAACGCTGGATGGAGGACTGAGGAGCTCTGGCCGTAAGGGCGCTGTCCAACGGCACGCATGAATATGGTTTCGAAAGAGTTCTAGTATTTCGAATGTTCGAAACAATACCACGAGTTCCCAGGCATTATTCGGTGCCTTGATCGGGCCGAGCGTATGTTGTGCTGTGTAACTCGTTTGTCACAGAGACCGTGGACCCTTGCTGGATGCACATGGGTGGTTCCGATGCAGTCTTCCCCACAATGTGGCTCAGGTCGGCGACCACGACCATGGCCCTTGTTGATTTGAATAGTCGCCTACAGATGGCAAATTTGTTGAGCACGGTTTAGCATTGCCGGGTAAGAGGAGCTGCTTTCAATTGCGTAGGGCAACATACACAGGCAAGATGTTTTTCTTCCTCCTATACGGAGATGAAACCTGGGCAAGAGATTTGTTCATCGCAAGTCGTCGGGCTGATGACATCAAAAAGCAGACGTGCGAAACGAAACGCGTGTTGAGCAGGCCCCTTACCCGCATGACAAGGGTGCGCTATTTCAGTCGCCAGGTTGCCTGAAGGAGTAATCGATGCGGTGCGTAGTTGTCAACTGCCTGGGATCAACCTAGGCGGCCAATCTAAATAATGATGTGTGCGTTAACGTTCAGGCGCACAGCTGTTTGTGTGGTAAGCTTCAACGGTTAGCAGTCCAACGGTATTGGGTACGCATTTCAACAGGTCAGGTGCGCGCACCCGCCTTCCTAGCCGGGCATCGTTCGCGAGCACAAGCAGGTCGGTCACTGGACTGTGCACAGCAAGTCATCATCTTACACAGGACCAAGATCGTGGACGTGTCTGCGTCATGTGCGTGGACACTTTGGGAAGAACGGATGAGTACGGACGACGATACGGACATGTGGGATGCTCGTTGCGACTACCGCATTTGGTAGGCAATTCGCAAAGTTGCAAAGAAGCCAAAGGGCACCCTGTTTTCGTTTCGGCTGAGGCGCTGCGGCACGGGTATAGGACGCGCCGCCATCGTGCTTACTGGAGGTAATAGCCGCCGGGCGGAACTCATATGCGCGCTATCGCCAAGGTCGATGGATGGGGGTGAGCTGGCACCGTTAGACGGGCGGCGGGTGTGCTCCGAGATGGATGTTTCGCGCTGTCATCGCAACTGGAGGAGATCATGTGCATGCGAGCCAGTCTATCAAGCGGTGCCCCTGCCGGCTAGTAGATTGCGACAGGTGAAGTGTGTAGGTGCGTTATCGTGAAGCCATGCGAAACACGGTGACAGTGGGATCGATCTTGTACGGCGTCGGCCATGTGGCCGCGCAACGACGACACACGCGGGCGCGCAAGGAGTGAGGCAATTGAATCTTGTAATCTGGCGACTCGTCTGCAATAAGGCCGAGCGCCCTGTTCGATCACCGCCAAGGGTCGACGAACCGTTGCTGCGGTACCCCATACCTCTTGCAAGCGGAGTATCCTCCCTGCACCTTGCACCCGCGCCCATGCAAGGCCGTCTCGTTGCTTTCTGGCTGCCCCCTCTTTCTTCTTGATGCAATGCACCGCCGTGGCCTTGTACCACCATCGTCCCACTCGCATGCCGGCAGACACGACTCCGTTGGGTCTGTGAGTCTGGCCCCGTTGATCGCATCTCGTAGCAGACGCACTCCCTGCCCGTCAGCCGTCTCTCCCCATAAGTAATCGCTGATCGTCTGCCACTATTTCTCCGCCCAACGCTGCACACGTACCCCGACCACGCCCTTTCTGCTCCCCTAATCCACATCCACCGCCTCACTGCTCGCTGGTCGACACTCACGTCAACTTCGTCGCCGTCGTTGCTCTATGCAATAACCCGTCTGCATCCGTCCCTGCCACCACCACCACTCGTGCCGCTTAACCCCGAATCCCCGATCAATCCTCGCCCACCATGTCCGACATTGAGAAGTCGTTCGTGTTCCTCCAGGACAACCTGCCGCAATGGCTGCAGGACATTGCCAGCATCCAAGAGAAGGTCACGGCCATGCAGGCCGATAATACGAAAGTGCCCGTATCACAGTCGCCGTTCGGGAAGCGGACCGACTCCACCGCGTCCATACGACCAGCACTAGACGCCATCGCAGAGGACGCAGCGCCTTCGAACGCAACACCTCCAGACGCCGTCACAAGTCGCAAACGAAAGTCACATTCCGTCTCGTCCGGCCACGAACCTGGCACTGCCCGCCATCGCCCTCGAACCATGGTGGTTGTCAACTACGATGGAGACATGCAGAAGTCGTTTGAACTGCTCGTGCGGGCAATAGGGACCGGACGCAACATGTTACGTAAGGCCAAGATGGAGGCCAGAATGAATGAGATGGCCACCCAGGCAGAGTCAAGCGCAGAGGAGGACGACATGGACGACGACGACGAAGAGATCGACCTATCCAAAATCAACTACCGAGCCCGCATGTCATCATTACGCGCAAGATCGGCGGCGAGGAGAAGCGGCAGACTGGGCGTCACCAGTGGTGTAGAGACACCTGTCGTGCTGTTCGATACCTCGGACAAAACATTAGAGCAAGCCCAAGAGCTGTGCGAGAAGTCGGCGCATCTCACCTTACGTGACGGCGACTGCAGAACAGAGCTGGAAGGAGTGCGAAAGAACTTTGAGACTGTGTTGGAGACGGCAAAGATGGAGGTGGAGAAATGCAACGCACGCAAGGCACAACATCCACCTGAATTACAGGCGCACGAGACCTCCGACACATCCGTGTCTTCCCTAGAGCCCGAGATGACATACCGGAAAGACACTTCGCAATCAGTACCACCACCACCCGAACTCGATGCTCAACCCAAGACCACATTGGCAACACAGCCTGTGACTACCCCACAACCACTGAAGATCGTCGACATTGAGGTTGATGACGAGGACGACGATGACGACTTCGTACTGCCGCCTGTACGGCTAACCTCGCGACTGAATCGTCGAGGCTGATCTTCTTGGTTCCATCCTTTTGTCATTTATTTTCATGCGTTCAAGCGATTTCCATCTCAGCCATTCCTCTCATCACGGCGTTTCGAATGCATTGCGGGTGCATGTGTCTGTTTTCATGCGTCATGTTGTGGACGAAAATGGAGGGCAAGGGCTTATATCCACATGCATCATTAAATATCTCTTGGGTGTCGGCGTCTTACAGCGAAGCATCGTTGCTATCTTCTAGCGTATTCAATCTATCTCCAAATTATTCATGCATTCTGTCGCGAAGACAATTTACGTTCGTTGGGAGAGTGTTGATTTGTTCATAGTGCATTACCATAGTTATTGTTGTCCGACTGATGTGACCGATTGCTCCACGTCATACCGGCTTCAAGCATAGTCATTGTTCTATGATAAGTCCTTCGAAGTTGTGCTCAGTGAATCCCGGCATCTGCCCGGGGCGATGTTTTCACTCGCTCCTTCCTCAGAACCACAAGAGTGCAAAACAGGGAAGGAACGCTGGAGCGCGTGTCCGACGCGTTCAGCGCACCTGCCTTGCGATGCATATTCACTCCCCACGCGTTATCATCTCTCAGTTTCTCCCCCGATCTCCACTCGCATGAGCTTCGCTAACCTCCTCTACGATCACTACCCTCAACTACCCAAATGGCTTCGTCGCATGCGAGTACAGCTGACTCGATCAATTTCTCCTCATTCATAGAAGATGACCCTCAAGTGACGGGTGAGACTACACAAGAAGATAACGTTGTGAGTGAATCATTCACTTCCCGCGTAGGCTACACTAACGCGACACAGTTGCTTGTCCAAGCAGATGCAAGCATCACCCGAGAAGAAACCGCTAATGGATCGCGTCACGCAAGTGAATCGCTCGATGATGCCAGGAAACCCCCGATTGCGTCTGAAGAAGCTTCCGAACGACGCGGCTCCAGTCATTCCAGCGAAACAATCAGCAGTGGCAGTACTGTCTTTCTCCACCCAGAGGAGAGCGGTCAAGGTGTTCCCGATCCTGTGAAGACACCGGTAAGTCCGTCCCTCATTCTGTGGTATAGTTTGATTAATGTATACAGCAAATCACGCCATCTTCTGGAAACAGGGACAGCAGCACCAGTCCTCCGCCTGGTGCTGGCGTTGAGAATGTCGTCGAATCCAATAAGTCACCGATGACACCACCCGCTTCAGCCGTACCTACCTCGTCTTATAGCTTGCGCAGCCGAACACAGAGTAAGCTCGTATACGATGTGAAGTACCACCCCATGGACGATGCCGTTCGACCCTCTCAGGCTGCCAAACGTCGCTCGGCACACGGAGAAAAGCTAGTCCCCGAGTCGGGCGATTCAAGTGAGGCTTCTAGCATCCTCGATACTGACGCTGATAAAACCGAGTCGGACGATGCACAAAGCGAGGGAGAAGATGAGGAGGAGATACCGAAGCGAAAGACGAAGAGCAAGGCGCGCAAGGAGTCCAAGTCGCGACCAGTACCTACCGAGGGTACGAGACGGTCTACGCGCAATGTCTCGGGTATCAAGGCATCGTATGATATGGGTAAACACCCTCAGGACAAGTATCTTGTCATCTCGAGCGATGATGACGACAGACCGATCTCGAGCAACAAACGCAAGAAGCTCTCTCGTAAGCGTGCAAATTCCGGACATGATGCATCTTCCAATCCCAAAGGAGCGAAGAGGTCCAAAGCAGTCCATGGGTGGCGATCGCGCCCCGCCGACTACGATACATCCGATGCGTTGGACTTAGACTCCAGTGGTGCGCCTGTATTCGCTAGTGTGGAGGACGGTAACAACATTGAGTCCAGCGCTTGTAGGTGGCCAGCTTCCTCTCGACATTCAGACTTACTGACAGAATGCAGCTACTGTCACCCTCTCACCCCCGCGCTTGCTGCTTATAGCTGATACTACTGGCCATGGCATTCGACACCGGGAAGGGATGGATGTCTGGCACTATCCTCCAGGAAAGAGATACCTCAACCACGATCGAGACTATTGGCCTGTCCTTCCAGGCGAGGCCTTCGAAATCTTTCAAGAGAAACTTGAAGACCAGCTAGCGCGCGAAGCAATGGAAGCGTCACCACTGAACTATGAGCATGATGATAAGGAAAACCCCAGCAACACAGGCCCCGAGCCACTCATCGAGGAGAATGAAGGGATGTCCATCATACCAGTTGCGCAATATCGACAGTCGAGCGCCGAAAAACAGGTGGCGGACCGACACTCCCTCGTCTCCAACGCTCTTTACTCTGACGATCCTCCGCAATCGTACGGCCTAGACGGTACTGATAATATCTATGAATCTCCTCAGGATGACCTCTTTGACGGCATGAACATACTCGCGTCTGGACAATGTTTGCCTCCGGGTCAAACCCAACCCGAAGCGCAAACTGAGACGCAGGACTCAGTGATCGGACCCAGCCTGATCAGCGATATTTCAGGGTCTGATTTGTGAGTCAATTATCACGTACGTCAATCTGGTCGGTCAGAGTTTATCGGCTGTCTCTTCATTAGCCTTTACTGACTACCATCTATAGATCTTCGCTATGACTATACAGGCATACGTATGAGAAGCCAGATCGTTACTATTTTCACCAGTCTTCTGCAACCGCCTTATAGATGGACATTCTCTTCTGTCGATTATCATTGCATGCCTACCTGTCATTGCAACTTATGCATGATCCTAGGATTGAGATATGTTCCTTTATGTTCTAGTCCAATCTACCACAGTACAGGGGGCATGGGTTTACCAAGTACGATGATTTATGTCTAGCTTGTTGCAGGCAGATGGCAAAATCCGAAGCACCCCAATATATGGGCGTGTCATCTCAAATGTATACAGTGTACGATACAATAGCGCATGCAGAAGTGCAAAAAAGTCTTTCAGTCTTCCACAACACAAACTTTGCCGAGTATGGTTGATGGATACCTGTGCAGTCACCGATAGAACCAAGGCCCAATATTGTAAAAACTCTCGTCATACCTGCCATAGTCCTTCATAACGAAACAGGTCGCCGGCCGAGACATCCGATACGTTCCTTCCCCTCTACTTCACAAAAGCTACACCAAGAGTAAACTTTGTAGCGACGACTGAAACGTAGACGCTTCATATCTCGCATCGATATCCCGTACGAATCTGCTACATCTACAAACTTGCTTCATCTCGATGTGTCGTCATAGTAGAGCGGTGTCTCTTCGTGACGATCTTGGGGAGCAGTCTATTATGTTGGAGTGGGAGCAACAAGATTGGGCTGTTTCAGCCATGCGTTGATCACTCCTTGACAGAACGTCATTGGTAGATGGTTGCAATCTTCCCGAAAACAACGTATGGTGTTACTCCTGCTCTCGGCCCGTGCTCACAAGAAATATAGGCTGTGATGAATGCCTTGAGCCAGCCGTTGAGGCGCAGTCGTGTTAGATTTGAAGGACTGCATAGATAGCCTAAGTTGTACTGTGTAGGAGTGCGGCCGGACCACGGGTCGCCTTGCGGTCGCAAGCCCCGCGGCCTGGCTATGCTTGTAATGCTAATATGCTGATGATTAGAAGATGGTTTACCTGAACCTACTTTCGCCCGCTGAACATCGTCGATGTTCAATGTAAGTTCTTCAGTGGATGTAGACTACCAAACCTTAATCACCAATGACGTTTTCTACACTGAAGATCTTCTGCTCAGTCGGCTTCGATTCGCGATTTGACCCTCGATCCCGCTCGGCTATGGCCCGCCAGCACGTACCCTGTGCACATGCAAGTGTTTAAGCTCTGTACCGATGCGTCATTGCAGTAGTATAGACGCACTTCAGAGTCCCTGCATACACTGCCCTGTTCACGAGACTTGTAAAATCCATCTCAGAACTGCAATGCGCCGATGTATAACCAAACTCTAGGCTTGTATACGAAAGCGAAGCGCAGAATCTATAATTGATCGTCCGGGCGAGCCCAGACGCCAGGTCACCAGGTTTAAGCGACAGCGCGCCATCGCCAGCGGAGCGGCCACCTAGCGCTGTTCTGGATGCGATCTACGCTGCGATCCAAGCGCAAGGCTGGCTGAAGACGATCTTGGTGTTGGTGTTGGTGTTGTTCGAGCGCAGAGGCGGAGCTGCGGAGGAGGGCGAAGCTAGATAGCGAGCATGATGCTGATTGCTGCAGGTTCGTGAAAGATCAACCTCGGGAGCACTCGAGCTACCACACCACGATGCGTGCAGGCATAGTGCTGACAGTGCAATCTTCTGTCCAACGCCGATAATGCGGCCTTTTGCCCCTCTGCGCGAACCTGCAGGTCGTAGCACGTGGAGATGGCTTGCGTCCCGTTCAGGTATAGGGGACATGTTGCAGCACTTGAGCCGGTGGTTTAGCGAGAGGGCGTAAGCCACGGAAGTTGATCTTGTCCCGGTCAGACACACCACATCCTCTTCTTCGACCAAAGACCGACCAACACCACGATGCCGTACGCCGCCGATGATGCTGGCCGGACATTCAAGTGTCCTTTCCCGCGGAGTTATCTGTGACATGGCTCCCAACTTCATGGCACGACAGTCTCGTGAGACACATTGGCCTGCAGCGCGACGTCGAGAACGTGAGTAGCTTGCTTCAATACGATGGCGCTTGGATGCAATCCTGCCTCGAGAATTCGGTCTCGTGGAATCTAGTCCGTCATCAGCTGTCATTGTAGGTTTCCACCCCCGCCATCGCATCGCGGAGCGGCCGTTCTGTCACGGACAGTGTCACGCACGTTTCCTGTCGACCGCAGAAGTGTTCCAAATCTACCCTTGCTCTTTCGTTTTCAGCAAAGTAGTAGCGGCGCAATGTCGCAAAGACCAATGGGAGGAATTCCTTCTGCCTTACCCTTGAACACATCTTCGCGAAGTGTTGCGCTCATGCTCCGTTTTTTTTCGCACGCTTAGGGTCCCTGCAGCTATCTTAAGCTCATCTGCCGACAAGCTTTCTCGTATGGTTAGATTGCTAGGAAGCTCCACGCGCGGCAGGGTTCTATGACGGCAGAGGCTAGACCTCTGAGACCCTGTAGGCTCAATTTGGAAGACCTCGCGAAAGTCGTTGCGACTGGGTCTTGCTACTGGCTGTGGCGTGGGTGACTGCGGCGTGATGTCTTTGTTGTTGTTGTTCATGACTGGCTTCACGTCCTTCGATACTGAGCGTATAGAATGGGGAGACGCATACCGTTCACCGCATCACCAACAACGCAAAGCCCCCCGAGCGGCACAGTGTAATCTGGACCTACAATCTAGTCTCCCGTCTCCCCAAACCGACCAAGCGTTCTGACTACTCTAGCGTCATCTATTCCCGATACGGTCTTGACAGGGGTGGTACAGCCAGCCTTCCTGAGCCAGGCACAGCCGCTTCCTCCTTCCACGGCGACCAGCACATGTACGCCGCACCCGGCCTTTTGTTTCTTGACTCTAGGCGACGACGAGCAAGGGCGGGGTGGGTGGGGCTTAGGCCTGGAAACAGCGGCCAGTCTACTCCGCCGTCAGTCGTCTGATCAATCTAGCGTGCACCGTATTGTGTCTGGGAATTAGATATAAGGTGCCGGTTCACATCCCTGGATGTTGATATCACAAGCAAGCAACATTCAAGGTTTACTTTGCTACTACTGCTACGAACTATCCATAACTTATATTGCTTCGCCCCCTGGCTCACTATACTTTTTCGGAATAAATATCTACACGTTCGCGGAATCTATCATAACGGCCCTTTGAACTCGGTGATTGCTAAATACATTGGCCTCATTTCACGGGTCACGCAAAGCTCCTGCCGCCTTACGCTCTGGACCTTACCGGGCATCGCGATAACAAACGGGACAACGCACGAGGGGTTTCCCACGCGCACGGATTTCCACAACCGACGGCTCGACTGCGCGCTGCTATTAATACATAATCCCGCGGCCTTCCTCTTCTCGAGTTCTTGATTACCGGTCAACTACTCAGACAACCACCGAACAATCTTCACCACTTCTATACTCTATTCATATACAAGATGGTCAAGATCTCCGTCCTCGCCCTCGGGCTCCTCACCCTTGCCAGCGAAGTCTGCGCTCAAAAGACAGTCAAGGTCATGCCATTTGGTGCTTCCATTGTCTCGGTACGTATCCCACCTTCCTCACTTCAAGTTTGCATCCACTGACTCATATTCAAGCGATGCTGGCGCGCAAACCTCCAAACCAAGCTTAGGGATGCAGGTGTGACGAACTTTGACTTTGTCGGTGGCCAAAAGAGCACCTGCAGTGGGACCAACATCGACCAGGATCACGAAGGTCACCCCGGATTCCAAGCCGCCGATATTGTCAAGAACAGCCAATTGCCTGGCTGGCTCGACAAGAACCCTCCGGATGTCGTTCTCATGCTCCTCGGCACCAACGATGTTCTCATCGGCAAGAGGCCTATCAACGACATCATCGCCTCGTACGACATTCTTATCGCACAAATGCGGAAGAAGAATCCCAACATGCAGATCGTCGTCTCCAACCTCCTTCCATTGGACCCCGCGCGCTTCAATGCCCAGGCCGTTCAAGGCATCAAAGATCTCAACGCTTACATGGCTACGCACATGCCTAAGAAGAGCAATGTGAAGAGCCCGGTCTACTTCGTGGACAACTTCGCCGACTTTGACGCAGTCAAGGACACAGATGACGGTGAACACCCCAACTTGCAGACGGGTGTACAGAAGATGGCGAACAAGTTCTTCGACGCCACCAGGACAGCAATCAAGGGAGCTGCTGCGGTCAAGGCAAAGAGGCAGAGCATAGTTGAGAGGAGACTACTAGACTAGAGTGGAGCGATGAGGTAGACTGTTACGAATTCATGACTTTTCATTGTGCTAAACTAAACTTGGGTATCTCTGTGCCTTTCCTTACTCCAAAAATCAAGTTTCGAATGTGATATCCCGCCAGACAGATGCCACCAGCTTTGATCAAGCTTGTGTATCGTTCTTTCAATATCAGGTTCCAACTTTTGTACTGTCGCCAGACGGGTACCATGAGCGGAGGAGAGACGGTCGTCCGCAGGTGTCTTGGTGGTGCGCGGAGGTCGTCAGGGCTTTGTGGTCTTGTTTGAGTCGCCCTCCGACTCGTAGGCACCCGCCTGCGAGGTGGCTTTGTCCTTGGCGGCCTTGCGTGCGGCCACGATTCCACGAGACTTCTTGCTCCTGATGAATTTGGCTTCTGCAGCCTCAGCAGCCTCGATGGCCGCGATCTTCTGTTGTACGTTAGTACCATGGTAGTGTCAGGAGGTGATCAGATACTTACGGCTGCCTCGGCCCTCTTGACCTCGTGCATGGCAATTGCGTCTGCCGCCGCAGAGTCCTTGTCGCTGCAGACGTAGGTAGTTTCGTACCCTGCTCGACCCATCTTTTCTGGCTGGTTGGCGAGGTGGTGGAGTGCTTTGATGACTACCGTGTAGTCTGGTGTGGCTGATCGCCATTAGCAAAAGATACGCTGAAGCCGTACCATATACTAACTGGTGATGGGAGTTTGGTGGTTGGAGAACCAAAACGAAAGCTCAAAAGTTTGTATATAGCTTCTAGCTTTTGTTAGCGCAGAGGTGAAGGGCAGTCTGGGGCTACTGCCCTTCACCTTGAGTCCCGGTGAGGAAGACATGGCGCCACAAAGAGGTTCGGCAACGGTGACGGAGTTCATGAAGGAGAGACAGAGACGGAGGGGCAGAAAAGATTGATATATGGCTAGCGGCTGTGTGCGTTTGCCTCGTTAAATTCGACGTCAATGGGGATTACGACGGCCCGGTGCAGTGTTCAGACAATAAGGAAATTGCAAACGCGTCAGGAAGAGCGGTGTTGCGGCGGCCAGGCAACATGCGGGACGCTCGAACATCAACATCAACATACGGGGCATCCAGGAGGAAAATATCTTGAAAATGTAATTCAATGCAGTATGTACACGTGCTGTTTCGCGCCTGGCCAAATCCAACTCTTACTTGGTTGTTATGATCTTGAGCTTCTTTGGGCTGTGACTGAACAAGTTGGCATATGCCTTGGGGACGGTCTTCCGCTTGTTAGGTTCCTGGACAAAGTACTCGTAGCCTTGCTTGTTAGCGAATTTGATGGCATCCTCCTTGGACTTGAACTGTATCCGGTGGCCGTTCATGAAGTCGGCAGACGACTGCCAGCCCATGAGCGGGTTCTCCCATCGGTGGCCCTTGGGGAGGACGTCCCAGTCCATCAGCCAGTGCGAGGCGTTCCAGTCGCCGGATTGTGTGGCTGTCTTGGAGGGCTTGTAGATGCTGGGAACAATTAGTATGAAGGCCGACGTCGGGTGGAGGATGTCTCGTACCGAACAGTACGCGCCTGGAGGTCGGTGGGGGCGCCGGATAGAACGGCAGCCGCAACACTGTCACCGGGCTCGCTGCCGTCCATGACGCGCTTGGGAACCGGGGAGAAGTTGCTGGGGACATGTTAGCCATATGCCGCCTTATCCTGATCCACGGTTGACGCACGAGGTCCGGTAGTCAATGGCGACATTGTAGTCTGGCTGGTGCCTCATGCCCTCTGCGGCGTTTTCCTCGCGGATCTGGGTGGACTCGCTCGTGAGTTTGACGGCGGGCGCATCTTCGGAGCTCGTCTTGTGGCCGTGGGGAGTGGGCTCGTTGGTCGCATAGGTGCGGAAGGAGGGGGCGATGACCCTCGTCGCGGAGGGCCGCAGGGCAGGGGCGAGCAGTCGCGATGCAATTGTCCTCGGGAGGGCAGCCATGGTGGTTGTGTCGTCGGCGTGGCGGGCGGGAATGCTGGTGATGTCGATGCAATGGGATGAAGCTGGGGTGGTTGCTTGGCGAAGGCGCCGGCATAATCCGTCCTGCAGCTTTCTTCCTCGAACCTCACCACCGACCGCACGACCTCCATCTCCACTCCATCGTCTTGCCCGCCCTGGTACGTCGCCCGAACCGATCCGCCACGCAGAGAGAGTGCAATTGATGCTAACTGGCCCGCAGCCGTCAAGATGAGCTTCATGCAAAAGCGCGGTCTCTCGACCCTCATCCCCCCCAAGGTACGGCTTCTGTCTGCCCCTCGGACCGCGCGTGGCACTGACAATGCTCCCTAGATTGCTTCTCCCAATGTAAGAGCCCTCCAAACGCTATCCTAGCACGCCTTCGAATCCCCGCAATCGCATACGCGCAACTTTCGGCCCACCGCAAACGCCTCCACAGTCGCAGCACCCCGACTGCGAACCTTGGCGCATCCCGACGACTCTCAAAATGGCGATTCCAGACCAGGGCTGATGTACGAAACAGGCTATCGGCTCCTCCCCCAATGCTGTCCGCATGCAGAAGGTCGTGAGCTTCTACGAGAAGCTGCCCCGTGGCCCAGCTCCCGAGCCCGAGGCCAAGGGTCTTCTCGGACGCTACCAGAAGAAGTACATGGGCAAGAACCCTTCAGCAAGGCGTGAGTGCACCCGGCGGGGCAGGAGACTATGCGAGCGCTGTCCTTGAGCCTGCGAGATCGGATGGGAGCACCAGACTGACCCTGTACAGCCCTCGTTCACGTCATTGGCTTCCTGATCGCCATCGGCTACGCGCAGAACTACTACTTCCATCTCCGTAAGTCGAATCAGATGCGCTGACGAGATGATGTGACTCACCACTCGCAGGCCACCACAAGAACAACGAGCACTAAGCGGATCCTCTGAATGCGCTGCATCGTCACGGGCGAATAGACCGGATGTGTATATGTAAAGTGTAGTTGGTGAATCAAACATCTAGCCAAGACAGTCTCTTCTCCTATCATGCAAATGACCCTGCCCTCTTCTTTGTCAACATCCACACGTGTGCGGTGGCGGAGGCCTGGTCAGCTCTCATGGGGCCGACAACGTCATCCCGGGCGAGGATAAGGTAGTACATCATGTGCAGTACTACGGAAATGTAGTGGGTCTTGTCGTCTCGTTTCTGAAAATACACATGTCAAACAACCTCACGTGCACGGAGTGAGCATGTGTCAGTAGCTGTCTGTCGACCAGTCTTCCCAGCAGGCTTCGTCCGGCCAGCACCTCCGCAGCTCAGGCTTGAATCGTGATTATCGCTGCAGCCGTGTGACGCATAGCTCCCAGGGCATTCTAGATGTCAGAATCGATACAAAGAGGACCCCAGGCGTGTGCCAAGACTAGCGCCTCTCACCATCGTGGCTACTCAAGCTACCCGCCTCAACCTCCTATACACCCACCCACACCCGCAGTCCGCCCCACCACGAAAGGGCCCCTTCTTTCACGCCGCCCCCTCCCGAGCGCGACTCCACGCCGTTCGGTGAATCAGCGCGACCCAGCACGTGTTCGCGACTGCCTCCAGCCCGCGCATCCATCCAGCGAAACACTCCGAAACCTCCGCACTCGCCGCGTCACCTCAGCAACTTGCAGCAACTCTGCGGAAGCGCCGACTTGACATCCGTGGCGACTTGTAGCATCTGACATTAGGTGATTATCCCCAACTTTTCTTAGCTCCCATGTCGCATGTGGAGGACAGCGGGCGTCCGGCCGGGCTCGACTCGCAGCAGTCGGCGCCGCTTACGCCCACGTCCTTGTTTGGATCAGACCAAGAACATCTTTCTGACATTGAGTCTTGCGCCACTTCAGTTCCGGAAACTGTTATGGCAGAGCAGGTTGCCAACGATGTGGTAAAGGAAGCACAGTCGGTGGGTCGTTCTGCGCCCATCGACGACTCTGCGTCAACTACCAACACCCCCGCCGTCAACGGCGAACCGCCCTCGGGCACAGCGATCACGAAACCGACCCCACGAGAAGCGTCTCCTACGAAATCCACTGTGAACGGCACAGGTGCACCCGCCACTGGTAGTGCACACGTGTCAGACAAGGCCGATGGAGATGCGGCAGCTGTAAGTAGCGAGGAAGAGCCATCGGGACGTGGTGTTAATAGTAGCAGGGCGAGAACAAGCAGTCGGATGCATCACGGCACGATTCCAAACAGCCCCACCTCAATGGCTTCTCGAGCGAACATCTGGCGGCGGAGTCGCAAGCCGTAGCAGATGCCAGTGGTGGCTCAGATACCGACATCAGCCGCCCAGGAAGCGTCGACCAGTCCAAGCGCGACGGAGTTCACGTGCGGACCAACTCAGCAGCCAAGAAACAGCCGTTCAAGTCAGTATCTGTGACGAAGAGCTTTCTGGCCAAGACCGTTCCGACCACGCCTGCTGCACGACCGGGGGAGAAGGCAGCCCCGGCAGCTCCGCCCAAGACGTCGATTCTCACCGCGAAGCCCCGCCTCGTAGCGAAATCGGGCGCTGGCAACGCCCCGCGTGCGCTGGGACAAACCAATGGCACGGGTGCGGGCCCAGATGCGAGCAAAGTCTGGAATAAGAACCAGCCCGTCCCAACCCCTCCGCCCAAAACCTTCACCGACGAAGAACTGAAGCAGCAGTACGGTATACACCTTGCAACACGCCTACAAGCTGATGAAGGAGGCAAGGAGGCCAAGTGGGCAGACATTGACGATGACGAGGAAGACTGGACCCCGGAAGCAGTGCAATGGATGGATGGAACCAAGTCCTCAGTTGCGGTGCCACCGGAGACGCAGCCACCGCCCGCCGAAGAGCCCAAGACTATTCTCAAGCCTGAGACGCCCGCCGAAGCACCCAAGCCTACCACGTCTCCAGCTCCAGCCACGAACGCACCCAAACTGAGCGTCACTGGTGGTGCCAAAACCATCTTGAAGCCTGGTGCGCACACGCAGCCCAGTACTGGAAAGTCGAGCCTGGTCCTCAAGGGTCAGCCAGAAAGACCAACTCTAGTAGCCAAGCCATCAGCGACTGAGAAGAAGTCACCATGGGCGCCTCTGCCCCCAGTCGAGAAGGTGTCGCCGATACAAATCAATCCCCCTGCGCAGCAACCACCCCCACAGCGTTACACACAGCGCGATTCCTATGGTTACGACTCCATGCCCCCACCTCCCGCGAAGGAGATCGCCCCCGATGACTTTAATCGCAACTGGCGCAACGAAAGCGGCGGCCGAGATACTAGAGACGGCCGAGAATTGTTCAATTCGCAAAGTGGTCGTTACGAGCCTGTACACAATGACATGCGGCGGGGTTCTGGACGAGATGCTGGCGGTGGTTACCGGCAGCAGCCGTCCGCCGTGCTACAGAGGCCTTCTCAGGACGGCGGCCCAGCAGAGCCCTCAGCGGCGTTCCAGACTTCACGGGCAAGCGCGGATGGTCCTACTTGGGGCAGGAGGAGGAACTCGTCCAACGTTAGTGGAACTATGCCTAGGCGCATGTCGATGGACCCACGGGGAGTAGACATGCCTACTGGTCCCATGAACATGGAGCGACGCGAATCACACTCGATCAACGGTGTGGACCCTTCGGATCCTGCAGCTTCCAGACAGTCGCCATTCCAGCAGATGAAGTCTCCGAACGTTCCTCATGCACACCCGGCTTCACCCTATGGCTCAGTAACCTCAGCTGTACAAGATGCACCCGCGCCTACACCAGCACCACCGGCAGAGAACCCAGTCGAGGTACAGAAACGTTTGATGGCTGAGAAGATCGAGCGCGCTCGTCTCAAGAAACAGCAGGATGCGGAAGCCGAGAAGCAGGCAGAGGCAGAGAGGAAAGAACGTCTTGCTAAGAAGTTGGCCGCTATGGGACCGCCTGAACCCAAGCCCAAAAACAAGGATCAGTCGCCTACACGCCCAGAGCAGTCCCCACAGAAAGACAAGGCTGCTCCTGCGCCATTGCAATCACCGCCAAAACCACCTGTACCGACTGCCGAGGGTGAGGTTACACAATATGGGATGATGAAGGTCCATCAGTCTCACCCGGTGAAAAGATCGCCTCAGGCGAGCCATGCTCAAGTAAATCCCTCACCGGTGACTGCTCCTTCATCACTTAATCAGCAATCGACGCCGCCCTTTGACGCCTTCACTCGTGACAACGAAAAGTCTCGGCTGTCAACTGAACAATCTCAAGCGATCGCTCACCAATCAGACGGCGCTATCCCTTCTGGGCCTAGGCCGCAGGCACCTCCGACCTGGTCGCAGTCTTCTTCTACAGCACCTCAACCTAGACCTTGGACATCACAAGTTTGGGGTCCTCCCGGCGCAAAAGATCGAGCTCTTGGTAACGGTACCTTCGACTCCGATTACAGAGGCCAGTCTCGCCCCGGTGCCCAGCAGCAACTTCCTGTTCAGTCACCTGCCGCGACAGCTCCCATTGGCACAGGCCTAGCTCCTCAGGCCTTGACATCACACCCAGCAAGACAGTTGCCTCCGTCGCAACCCATGTACTCGCAGCGATCGTCGCGTGCCCAAAACGCGGCGGCGGCTCGGGCGGCTAGACCACCTCCAAGGAACGTCACTGGCGGCGGTTGGGATACATTTGGTGAACTTATCAAAAAGGATGACCAGGACCTCGCAGCGAAGAATGCTCAAGATCGAGAACGCCAGGGCGAATTCCGTCCCGAGCTTCGAGAGGTATACAAAGATCAGCGTGGGCAAGCACAAGTGACGCTGCATGACAAGGTCGCCGCCGAACTGGCTCTTGCCGAGGCATTGAAAAAGGACGATACTACGAAGCCTTTGGCTGAAGGTTCGTCGCCTCAGCAAGGTCTGACTCAAGGTCCTCTCCAGCAGGCTACTGGTCCTCGCGCATCGCGCTTCTTCCCTCGTCCGACTGAGACCTCAACAGAGGCGACGGCGTCTCCGTCGACCTTTGTGTCAAGCAAAGCAGACTCGCCTCCTCCGCCTCCCG